GAAGCTTGAAGTAGGCGAGTTTTCTCGCTTTTTTAGACACCGTTGTACTCCTCTGCATCAACTCTTCCACTTTTCTACCTGCGAAGGGTACCTCAGAATTATCTTGAACTGTGCCTTTAAGTGAAGGCGGTAGTTGATAGAGGAGAGGAAGAAGTCTTTGGCCTTGATCAATCGCGTTTTCTTGAGATGCGCCTTGAATTCTATTCTATATCGCAGTGCCCAGTTGAGATGTTTCATCTCTAAACCATCGTTTCTCGCGGATGGACCTCACACCAATTAATCGGTACCCAAGGGATGGAAGGTTTCATTGGTCGGGGCGAAATTGAAAGGGTAAGCAGTGAACATCACATTCGTCTTGGCTTTGGCACTATTTCGCGGTAGGCCAATAAGTGAAAATCTGCACCTAAGGGGTTTCAAGCGCTCAATGGAATAGGCTAGCTATAAGCAGCTGTACGTGTGATATTCGTGACCTAATCTTTGATTAATCCTTGCACCTATTTTTTCTTACAAATTACGTGGGAAAAGTAATTCGTGCCAGCAGAAGGCGTAGGCGGAGAAAACGAATGTCGTTTGCAGGGTAGAAACCATCCTGAAAGTGAAGGATCGATGGAGAAAGTTTCTGACGTTGATCAGTCTCATTTGGGGATACGCTCTCGCAACCGTAGTGGGTTCGAATGCATGCTTGAACAATGTAGTATCTTCGGGAGTCATATGCTACATCATGAAAAGTCAGTAATATTGTCCTCCCAGACAGGTCCTTTACTAATGCGACGGACGACGTGGACGGATGGAAGGCGTGGTTGGTTTAACGGATGACAGTCCGAGATTCGATACCTCAATCATTCTCGTGGTAACACAGGCACGCGTGTTACTACCCCCAGTTACCTGGAGCCAATTTTTTTTACCGAAGTGGGTGTTCAAGTCGAATAGTATGCAGCTGTGTGTATTCTTCCCTTTCTGTTTTCGATCAGAATCTACGTCAACAACAAAAATGTTGTTTATAGTGATTTCGTAAACTATGGAAAACTATATCTACATTTTCTAATGGAATAACCACAACGTGGAATTGTGTCTGAATAAACGAAGCGAATGAGATTATTTTGTCTTAAGGTAGATTCTTTGGGGAGGCATGAGGGAGCTTATGCTGTTCAGAGGTGGGGGCGAGTTCAATACGTACTCAGCTCACTAAGGGGGAGAAAAGTTATATGTTCCGTAGACATGTACTCATGTATAACCGCGAATCAGTCTCGAGACCTCAGTCTTCCAAAAGCGATTTAGAACTAGGATGCGTGGCGCATTCCAAAACGCAAGCATTGAGCGCCTTTGTGTTATATAGCTTCCTCCCTCCTTACGAAAAATAAAAGGACAGGAAAAGTTTTTGGACCTTGCATGAAAAAAATGGCAGCAATTTCCATACTTTGGTTTCCATCGTTCATCCTCCTTTTTACAAGAATTTTTTATCAATCTGATTTGTAGCACTGGAAATGCCAATGGAAATTGAATCGTCAGCAGTACTTGATTTTTCCTAGCGAATTTTTTTCAGTTGTTCATTCCTTCTGGAAAGTGACACCTTATGCTTTTCAGAGATTGTATTTAACAATTCTAGGTTTTTATCTTCATAATGTTCTGTGACCCGTCATAAATGAATGTTGAAGTTTATGTGAACACGTCATAAATGCAACGTAAGGGTAAAACCCAGTCATAAAAATGGAAAAAAGCAGTCGGGAATTCTCGCAGGGTTTTACGTTTGATTCTACAAGTAGAACGATGCTCTAAATGTAAAAAGCAAAAAAAAAATCAGTGTTTCCCATTCTGTGTTGGTAATTAGCCTTCATGTTCCCACGACTTTTCCTGGGATGAAATATTTATTCGTCACCACCAAGCTCAGGATCAAACTGTATGTAGAATCTAGTTGGCTTGGAACTCAATTTAAACCGATGATTGTAGGGAATATTAAAGATGAGTTATTGTCGGATAATTTCGGATATTAACAGCGGCTCAAGTGCAGAAATTACTGAAGAAATCTCATAGTATCAACAATTCTCCTTTCTATTCGAATGTTTTGACATCTTCTAGCCGCTCACCTATGTATTTCCATGAAAAGAAGCCAACATGTACCGTTATCGATGTGGGACACGATAATGTTAGCCCACTAATTCGTACGGTGCTTATCAAAACACGGTTTTGGGTTTGCCCACACAAATGCTCTTGGGATCACTTAATATGACTTGTATATCGACTTCACCATTCTTTCAATTATCCATTTTTTCCATAATCCAGATTTTGCTATTCTAAAAATGGGTTAATCTGATGAATGTTTGCTACTAATTCTGAAATTAATGTAAATGAAAATGGGTTTTCTATTTATCCAGTAACTTTCTGCTGCTTCCTACATTTAATTTAATTGAAATGATAGCTCCGTTTTCAGTTATTCTTTCCATAACTTTTCTGTTTGTATCAAACGCATTTAATAGGTGAAAAGCTAATTATTTATTCATGAAAAAATCAACCCAAAACCCTCGTAGAATGAACAACATCGTTATACGTATGTCACGTTTTTTCTCGAATGGTCGCATTCACAGTTTAGTAAACAGTTGGACACCCATGAATGAGGGGCATCGATTTGGGCATCGATTTTTTCGTAACCTCTCTGTTTCGATCCTATCTTCATATTATATTGATATAGGATAGTTTGGACTTTTTTGCATTTAATTTTTACTCGTTGTTTAAGCTTTTTCTCTGCGAACAACATTTATCACATGGTCATTCTTTTCTGACGTTTTCCCGATAATTGTAGGATGTAATTGCCTACAATTGAGAGTGCAGGCGCTTTCTGGTGTAAATTCCTGCTGCCACAATCAAGCAAAAGGGAATTGAATATTTTTAAAACTGTAAATCGAGCCTGGCGTTAGTTCAAATCGTAATAAGTATCTGCCGCAGATTTCATAAAAGTCCGGACTTTTTCTGGGGTGTTCTGGAAGTTATCGTAGAAGTAATATAAAAGGAAACTAGTCCTTGTACGAGTATAACAGACCCAGAAATTTCAAAATATCACAGGAGACTGAGCAGATCTAGGCTAATCTTCAACTTTTGTTTCGGGTCTTGCTGCGTTGCGACGAGAATTGCATGGAATCACTGAGCAGGAGCTTGAAGGTCGCTCACTTGGCACAAGTTCTATTGGGCTTCAGCAGCGGAGTGGCCGAATTCATACTTGTAACGAAGTATGTGTCTGACAAATTAGAAAACAGTTTGATCCGGTATCGGGTTAAATAATCAGAGATGAGGGAGCCGGATATATGATGCTCATTAAAATGTGTAATGCTCATATATAACCATCCCATAAAAGCTTCCGAAAATTTCATAAGAAACCTGGACTCTTGCAGAACTTTTGACAGATCGATCCAATCTGATTATGTTTGGCCAGAGAATTCTTTGAAATGTACGCTTGTTCAAACTGTTTCTATTGAATGGCGACAATAACTAGAAGAATAAGCAAACTAGGCGGCGAACTTTTTTTGTATAGCTTCCCTCTTGTCGTATAGGGTGGGATGCTAAATAGATACTTTGTCGTATAGGGTGATACTTGATATATTAGTGAAAACGTTGTCAACTATCGTGTTGCGTTCGAACTATATTGTATATTGTATAGGTATTGCTACTATTAGAAAAAACTCGAATAGCTTTATTTGATTTGATGTGACGTTGTATATTCATGGATTTCCAGTGCTTATTTTCGTGGTCACCACGGGATTTCATTCCCCCACCCCCCTGTGAAATAACATTAGTCGATCACAAGAGTTAGGAACTAGGACTTTCGGTACCCCACATTGTACGTGACCGCTTTCGCTGTCCTGGGTAGGTACAATCGAAGCCTCTACCCTTTACTGTTTCAGATTTGCATGATATCGCTGGAAAGTGTCCACCACAATAAACCAGATCATCTCATGAACTGTACGTTTTTCTGATCGTATTCTGTGGAAGGAAATGACGTGTGTTATGTACACACATCAGCAGAGGGTGTACAGTGGCAAGCAGCGCACACACGTATGATCCGGGGATCGGATTCCGTAAAGACTGACCAGACTTCCTATCCCTCGAGGCTCGGGTAATTTCTAAAAAGGTCTTGCTCTCGTTTCAGAGGACAGAAGTCCTGGCTCGTACACCGACCGGCTGAAGTTCATTGTACAAGTCGCGTGCGCATTCAAAACGGCACCGCGAATCTGATTGAGCCTGAGTTACTCCCCTTTCTCTATAATACTCATGAAAGCCTAATGTCAAACTTTGCCACCCTCCCTCTCCCATACGAATATGTTTGGGATTCTTTGGTACCCTTGCATCGGACCCGCAAGTCGCAAGCCAATTTCTCTTGGTACTTTAGTGTGACTAATCCCTCCTCTTCTTCCGCCCTAACCTGACATAGAATTATTATATTTCCTCGACACGCTACTATCTGTGGTCCTACTTTTGTTCAAAGTCCATACTCCAAATTATGTACCGAACTACTGTAACTTGTCACTGAATGCGATAGCAATAGGTGTCTTTAGCCACTTACTTGGTAGTTTAACTGTAGTAGCTGGTATCTTTGCAAGAATGGGTGGGAACATCTTTGGAGAGGGGTTAATGAGAATACACCACGCGCTGGCTCGCAATGGGTTGTAATCTAATCCACATTGTTATTTTTGTTTGTCAAACTTTCCTCCCAAAGAGTTTCTTGGACGTTACCTCGCTACCGCATTATTTTTAGGCATTATAAATTCCCTTTTTAACTCCTTTTTGTGTTTTCTTTGGATTGTAACTTAATTCATGGCTTATCCCCAATCTTTTCACTCCTATCACATCTCCGTCTGTTCTACGTTGGTCAGGGAGAAGCTTCATTTTCTCAAAGTCTTCATTTCATCTGATGTCTCCGTGTTCCGGAATTTCATTTGCAGCTGTAAAATAGGTTGATCAGAAAGAATTAGTTCAACAGTTTAGACTGTGTTTGTATTTCCTGTTGGTTAATGCAAAAATATGACAAGTTGGAGAAGATTGGAGAAGGTATGTACACAAAGATTTGGTTCTAGAAGTTTTCCATTTATATGCTAACAAACGAGCCCGGTAGGATTCCTAGCTCCACGATAATTATCTGCTCATTCGAGGTGTAATTATCCCGGGAAGCCTGATTGAAGAGGAAATAGAAGAGTAATAAGATTGGGCAGAAGTATCGTAAAAAGCAAATTTGCGAGCCTCGGAAAGAATGATTAACCATCTACTTGTTGTTCGATCAAACAGATAGGGGGAAGGGACCGGAAATCCTCAGCTTGACGTAGTTTCTGCGGCTGCTTTTTTCCATAAACGACTGAGTTATTTTCTATCGGAATTATCTTCTTTTAGGCACCTATGGAACTGTATTCAAAGCTCGTAATAAAGAAGGAGGCGAAGTAGTAGCTTTGAAGCGTGTTAGACTTGACGACGATGATGAGGTATGCAAAATTATCAGTACATTTTTGGAAAGATCCTATCGCAAAACATCCTCGCTTTGTAAAAATGTTTGTGTAAAGAAGGCTCATCTTGAATATTTCAAATAAAAGGTATTAACAACAGCTCCCTTCACATATAAAAGCATGAGAAATCCGGGGTTCCCGATTTCGCCGATTTCGTCAACCCACAGAGATAAGGAGTGCTGACCGCTAGGGTACCAAACACCAGGTGGATCGGACATACCTTGCGATTTTTTTGATGATCGTTGGATAAGGGCGATCCACTGGGACGTGAAAAGAATTCCTGGAGGGTCGCTGGCGCGGTGGTCACACTTCTCGAGAGCTTAGGATGAAGGTGATGGTTTGCGACGAATCCTCCGCGCGAAAAGGGTTCTCTTTGCTACATTAGCTCAGAACGGGGACGTATAGAGCCGTTACAGGTATCGTCCAAGCCAATATATGGTAAACGGGTGATGTAGCTGGCGCTATACAATAATATACGTTATGGTGGCTCTATGAGGAGCTATTTCTTACCGGAAGGTTTTCCCAAGTGTAGAGTGAGAGTTGACTGCTTGTCTGCAGTTCCATTCGTTTTTTTCAGTGGTAGAGATTTTCCTTCTTGAGAGGTCTCGAAGTTTGATAATCTGTTTTGCTCAACTATATAAGTAAGCAACAATTACTACAAAATCTAGTCAAATGCATATTAGTAAAAAAAACTTGCAAGATTTCATACAATGATTATCAGTGTGATTGTTTAAAAATTACTCACCAGTTAGTGTCTTTCCAATACGTAGGCGTGTCGGTTGAATGGTACCAGTCTCGTCTGCGGGATAGAAGCATTGACTTGTACATCGGCTGGCTACTGCAAGTCATTGCATGGACCACACTCGTATTCAAAGCATCACTACGAATCTGAAAGGGAATGGATAGCGGGATGCGTTCTGAGGCTTGGTCTTTTGTCCTCTATACCACCCATAGCGCTTTTGGTCGAAATTTCAGGGCCAAATGCGTCGTGAGCCCGTTGAGAGCTACACCGACATCGGAGTGACCATACTTATATATTGGTCTTCCCTTGATATGTGAGAGTCGTAATTCTGTTCATCTAACACGCGGTGGCAAACTCATTTGCTACTACTCTGTTTCGATCATTCCAATGCTGCGACTGCAGTGGATACTAGTTACCATAACTGTTTACTCAGAAGTCATATGAAAGAGATTTTCAATGGCTGGTAATCGGAAAAAACTTGACTGGTATAGTTTTTGTTGATTGCTTAGGAATGGTCGAGTTTTATACGAGTGGAGCATTTATACTACCCTTTATGAGTGACATTAATGAATTTAGAGAACGAGAAACAAGAAGTCGAAAGTACTTTCCGAAAACGAGCCACTCATTTTGATAAGGGAATGCAGAATTTGCTTCATACCATTAGCTTTTCACCAAATTTAAGTTTTTTTCTCTTTCAGGGAGTTCCGAGTTCAGCACTGCGGGAAATCTGTATCCTGAGAGAATTGAAACACAGAAATGTCGTCCGCCTTTATGACGTCATTTATTCGGAAAGTAAACTTACCCTGGTTTTCGAGTACTGTGATCAGGACTTGAAGAAGTTCTTCGACTCGCTAAATGGCCACATCGATCAGCAGGTCCGACACTCTCGTCCCTATCTTTTGTACCAAAACTGTTGGTTCAATCCGAAGATTCAGATGGCGAAGTCGTTGATGCAGCAGTTGTTGCGAGGATTAGCTTTTTGTCATGCACATCACGTTCTTCATCGTGATCTCAAGCCACAAAATCTGCTCATTAATTCTAATGGCCAACTGAAATTGGCTGATTTTGGCCTTGCTCGTGCATTCGGAGTTCCGGTTAGGTGTTATAGTGCTGAGGTATGTGTTGATTCGNGGTAGTTCTCAAATGAGCTCTACGTTCAACCGAAATTGACGAGTTGAGCTATGTAGGCACAGAATTGCTGTAAACCCTGAAACTCTACCCCTCTTATCGTTATGACCATCCTTTTCTGCCACTCCGTATGGTGAGGACTTTCCTGACACCTACAAGTTTGACCTGTTCCACCCTCTTATGTCATTTTTCAATTTTAGTTCAGGAACCTCTACACTGTCGAGATTGGATTAGTCGCTCTTTGTTGAGAAAGAATATATTTGCATAGTTGCATGATTTTTATTCAAATCTTGTTTTCATGTATCCATACAAGCGAGGGAAGTCTTTGAGTAGGTCTTCGAGGAAAGTGCATTTATTACGATGAAATATGGAGTAAAACTACCTCATATTTACTGCAGGAACTCTGAGAATTTTAACAAACTTCCCAACGTTTCACAAACCTTTTAATTTTAGGGTTATTTTTGTTTCTGAAAAAGGGATTTCAGGTGTATTTTTGAGAGCTGTGCACCGTAGCAATAGTGGCTTCAGTGGGTGCAAATTTCCTTCTTGTAATGCTTCCCTGAAAGGCCCATTCTCATAGAAGGGGCGAGTGTGAAGTAAATGTTTAACCGTATGCATTCTGGATGTTCCATAACTTCGGATCCGATTCCTCCAATGTGTTGTCCGTTCTATCTTTTTCGACGGGGCCAAAAAGTTGTGGAACGTGGGTAAGAGTGCATCAAGGCTCGGGCAGGTTACCTGAAAAGGGGCATGCTCCAGTTTCCTCTCATCAGAACGAATGCACTTTCTCGTGGATGTCCCCTTTACATTTTGCCTTCCTTTCGCATGTACATACGTATGGTACCTTCGCTTGGTTTGAATTTTATTTTGATAATGAGAAAATGTTCCACTCCTTAGTAAGGATTTCTATGTCTGTACAAGTACCATTTACTTCAGGCTTTCTTATTTTAGTTTGATGAAAGTAAACCTTCAAAAGAATAGAAGATGAGGGAAAGTTAACTTGATGGAATCTGAGGCAGTGATCGAATTCTTGACTAAAAATCGCATCTGTTTATTTCTAGTTAGGCGAACTTGGAAAGCTGTTGTGGTTGTCATAATTTACCCTTTCAAAATCATCATGCGATACACCTACCAATATTTCAATCGCAAACCTGGGTTATTATCTTTTCAAAACAGTTCTGTTAAAATACCGTGACTTGGGCTGGCATTAGGAGTTTGTATCAGCGTGCAGCCTAGAAAGACGGCTTCACCACTACAAATTCTACAAATTTTACCCGAATGGGACCAGGCCCATACAACTTTCGCAATTGTTTTGATCGAGGGGGAAATGAGGACTTTATAACAGCTGGAACAACTGAGTGCTTCTGCATATGCCATTTTGTATAATTGTATGGCCCATGCAATGACTGGCGATGGGCTGTCTATTTTGAGCCAATGCTTCTATCCTCTCAGTCGACTCTGTTACCGATTATCCGACCCCAGGGGATGGGAGGTTCGGTAGAGCTGGGTTGGGTATCAACTCAAGATTCTATCTCTGGGCGGTGCGTTTGTGATAGTGCGCTGCCTGCCACTGCACGATCTCCGCAGAAACCATAGGAATTGAAGTCTTTATTGTTTTGGTAGAGAATCGAGTGTTTAGGGCGATGTTTTAGACATTACCCACTGTCTCCCGTATAATATTAGATGGTTACGTTTTCAAATAGGGGTGCTGTATGGCTGTTCCTTGTGTGAGGTCGACAAGAATAATGAGGAAGATGTTCGAGTTTGTAGATGTCCTTGCTGTTCACTCGTTGACACTCATCACTTGTTAGGTTATCTGTTTGAAGGTTGTGACACTGTGGTATCGACCGCCAGATGTTTTATTCGGCGCGAAATTATATAACACATCCATTGATATGTGGTCAGCAGGGTGTATTTTTGCTGGTAAGTGCAGACGGGTTGTTACAAGATGGATTTTATTCAAAAAGTATCTGCCTTCCAGAGATTTCAAATGCTGGTCGTCCACTTTTCCCCGGCGCAGATGTTGATGATCAGCTGAAAAGAATATTCAAACAACTGGGAACGCCCACTGATGACACTTGGCCAGGCCTTTCACAGTTGCCGGATTTCAAGGTAAGATGCATTTCTTTGTATAATTTTACTACAACGATTTTTTACGGTCAACTGTTATGGGTTTTAATAGTGGCGCTAACTGTTGGCTTTTTGAAGTTGTGGCTTTTTTCTAGAGCATTGTTGGGGAGAGCTGTTTCGAAAATTTCACCTCGAGATGCATTTCAACCCACAGAAATAATTTATGAGGATAACAATTTATCGAAGCCGGTTGATCGATTGATGTAATGATTATTTACCCAGTGCAATTTCAGCCGATGCCATTGTATCACCCAGCAATGACGTGGGGTCAAGTGGTGCCAAATATGTCTGCAAGTGGCCGTGATCTTCTTCAGGTAATTTTGGTCAATGAGTATCTTTTTTCATCTTTTTATAGCATTAGGGATTACTTGGATAGGAGTACATTCAGTCAGAGAGTTGAGCTCTATGCGGTAATACCCTTGATTTATTTTTCTATAATTAACCTGGGAACGAAGATATGTGGGAGACTACTACGACACTGCCCGGAATAGTACTATTAACGCGAATAGCAGAGCATGATTAAGATAAGCAGGTCGTCCCAGAAATGGTTGCAGAAGGCCTCCGAAAAGCACTTTTGACTTCCAAAGTGCCTTTAACTGTTGTCGGAAAGCGGCTTTTCTAGTTGTCGTTCCTCCAGTTTCCATGTAATCGGGTTGGATTGTTCCGAGTCTTCTGCTTCGAAGGCTGGTGAACTGAGGAATCCAAAGATTTTAATGGACATCTGTAACCAAGGCCGTGAACGACTTATAATCGGGCTGTCCCAAGGTGTATTTTAGCACAGCAGACTTGTAGAGGGAGTACAAGTTCAGTATATCGTCGAAGAACAGCTATGAACTTTTTGTTAGAGCTGTAGTAACTTATCAATAGCTGAGTGGACTGTTGCACTATTGTTAATAAGGAATGATCAGCTGAAGACTTACTTTAAGGGGCTGTGAAGTCGATGGAGAAAGCGCGTGTGAATTACGAAAGACGATAAAGTTTCTAATCGGTATCAGAAACTCGTATCCTTCGTCCATTAGAAGCTTCTGGTTGATTGTCATTTATAATCTCAGGGAAGCTGTTCAGCAAATTTCTTGCAAGCTTTTCGATCTGTAGGTGCTTCCGTCAAATGGGCGGAGCTGTTACATTACCAAGTGGCGCAATATCATGCTTTCTGTCCTGGGATCGAATCACGGCTGGTGCACCCAGACAACAAAGTCAGTCCACTCAGCTATCGATAAGTTACTACAGCTCTAACAAAAATTTCATAGCTGTTCCTCGTCGATATACTAAATCCGTCTCCCTCTACAAGTCTGCTGTGCTAAAATACACCTTGAACAGCCCGATTATAAGTCGTTCACGGCCTTGGTTACAGATGTCTTTCAGACAATGTCCTACATCTCTCCGAGTTCGCTTAATTTATACCACGCTCGCCTGGAGGGTCACTGTCTTGTACATCTACTGGCCACTGCAAGTCATTGTAGAAACTACAGGCGCATTAACAACCCGCTAAGATTCTGGATGGAAGTGAAATGGGGGCGCTTGCCGGCATTCATTTGAGTTCCCCTCTCATCTTCCCCGGTGATTTTCCTCCCGGACGGCGTATACAACACTGCAGATAAAAGAGAGGAAGAAGTCTGCCTCGCGATCGACGAAATATTTACCTACATTGGTCCCGATCTAGTGTAGGAGGCGGGGAGATAATCTGATCAAAAAATGAGAAGAGAGTTGGGAAAATGTTCCACCACTGGAGATTCTTCCAAAGATTCCTGACGTTCAGCTTGAAAACAGTACTTTATGGTGTAGTCACTTCTACTTTAAATTTATTGAGCATGTGGCGATTTTTTCCCGGGAAATGTCTATTTGAAATAAAAAATTTTCCCTACCGAGAAGCGACCTCTGAATAGCTTGATCATAACTAGTTTAGACTCCTGTGTACTTACTTATTTCCCTAGCATTTAGATCTTAGCTCCCTTCAGAATGTAAGTCAATGCTGTGTTTCCAGCGACTTCTTGTATGCAATCCAAATGGTCGTTTGGATGCCGAAGGAGCTCTGCAACATGCGTACTTCTCCGATTTCTCCGATGTTTGCTAGTGTTTTTTGTTGACATTTCATGTTTTAGTGGTGCTATTTGATAGCGTGGGTATTTTTTGATCTCGCCTATAAAAAAATGAGCGAATCTTTTAACTTCAACCCTTTCAACTTTGGAAAGTATGAGACAAGAAATGCCCCTTCACTGTAAGGAATGAATGGCATAGAGATTCTAAAGGTTGAGAGGCAGTGATGTCATGAAAAGAACGGTCGCAGATAGTTTGTCTATCTGTTATGGAAGGTTGAAACAGCCGAATCCTCATGGAAGGAGTAAGGTAGAGTTGTAAAAGTTGTATAGGTATTGGTAGAAAGTTGGAAATCGATTAGCCACAGCTCATTTCAACTTTCATTCAGAATCGTAGTGTCCGATGTATGAGTAGGACTTAAATCATACTTGGTGTTGATCGCTGAATGAAAAGTAAATCCAATCTAGAAAACTTCATTGGTGTACTTAGACTGTCGATGCCGGTATAGAAAAAAAGTTCAGCAGCGATAATTGAGTAATGCGCCCTGTACCCTGAAGAAGACGAAGGTTGAGGTAGTGTCCAGGTCATGCGATCCTTCTGTCCTACCACCTTAACACCACTCTAGAACTCATGATTTGTGGTTGAAAAGAATGTGGAGTCAAATCGGTTGTTGAATTGTGGTCTCTTTTCCATTACTCAAACATAAACATTTCTTAGTGAGATAACAAAAAAAAGACAGTTGAACCAAAGACAAGCCTGATTTCCGAAACGATTCGAAACAAGCCAAAATAGTGAAGTCCTCACTAGAGTTACAGCTTCTGGACTTCGATTAATACTTCTCATTTCTTTTATATCGTATGGAGGTGGTGCGTGGTTATTCGCTACCATGCACTGTACTGGTATAGGCGTAATCAGTGGAGCTTGGAAACTAAACAAAACGTGGCTCACTAATTTCCTACTCAAGTAAGTGTTGAATTTGCTCGAAGCCCAGTAATGCCCAATGAAGAACATTAGGCTTGGTAACGCGCTACCGCAGCCAGGTAAAGGTTTGGTTACCGAGTTTGTATGTTGTATGTTGGCTAGTTAGAAATGCTTGATGGTTTGATAAACACAGGATTAAGGCTTTGAGCCGTAAGCAATCGCATTTGAGGAAATCGCCACACATTTCACTCCTAGTCAGTATCGTAAAGGTGTTTTGAATGAGTATGTGGCCAGCACCATGACTTGTTGTGATGGGCTGATGTACACGTCGGTGCATTTTCCTCCCAGACAAGTCTCGTACCACTTCATCGACCGCGGTTGTAGGAAAGCCTTGTTCCGTATGGGCGAGTATCGACTCATTAATCAGTTTCCGGACCATGCGTGTGATCCCCACTTGGGAGCAGAAGTGTAGGTAAATGCAGAGACCAGCGATTATTAGACTAAGTTACATTTCTTCATTGGGCTACGGTGCTTGGCATGGATTTGAAAAACACACGGAAGTAATAGCAGCCACCCTATAGAAATACTCGTGAATTTGCTGTAAACGAAATGAAAGTGTAGAGCAGCACTATGCCTTTGTTTTGTGTTGGTACGACTAGGAACGTGGCTCTCACAAGCCATTGTATAGGCCAGGAGGGTATAGCAATCCGCAATGGAACTCGAATATGTGACGCCTCTCAGTACGGGGATGTACAGCTACTCTAGCGTTTTGCTTTTTATTCATTCCCTCTAAGAGATATGATCCAACAATGTTCTGAGCTTTTTGAACGCTCTTGTTTGTAGTAGCAAAGAGGAACAGACCCTCTCTCATTCCGGAGAGGATGGAAAGGGGATGGGAGGGAGGGGCATTGAGCAACAAGAAGAATCAAGATTCAAACAACGGTTAAGATTGGCAGAGCCTTTTGAATGGAATTGGTATCGATGCTAATCTTAATATTGCGAGGATATCGAGTCGAGTCGATCGAGTTTTTGGCGTTAGTCAATCCCGTCTGAGGGATGCGCCCTCGCACTCGACTTCCATTCAGAATCGTGGTGGCTTAATGAGTGCGTATGTGGCCGATACAATGACTTGCAGTGGCCAGCCGATGTACAAGTCAGTGCTTATATCCTCCCAGACGACGGCTTAGGCGGGCATCGATCCGGGATTTGAACCCCTGACCGTGAGTGTGATATAGTGCGCCACTTGCCACTACACCACCTCCGCCCCTTTACGAGGATATTTTTGAAAAAGTCGTGGCCACTGATTAAGTGAGATCCCAGCAGGAATTACCATGGGCCCATGCAGCTCCGACACAAAAAATATTCGGGGAAGATTGAGAACCACTTCAGTATTTAGCAGGAACTATAAACCCAGGGATCCCCCATGGGGAAGCTGTTTCTTTGAAGTGAGCTTGGAATTCTTGTTCCCCAATCGTTTGCTGTGGATATCGCACTGCAATCTCCAAAAGTTGTCATGAGAAGGTTTCACAGGGTCGGACAAAGTTTTCAGTGTTAGAGACTTCTATCTAATCAGCTATCTCTAGTAATGCCTACAAACTTATCCATATGAGCTACGACCTTCTTAGCTTCGAGTTATGAATGGATTCTGTAACTCTGAAGCCCCTCTGAAATCCGTCAGGTCGTTTGTTCGTTTTCATAGGAGTAGAACCAGATGCTTTTCTTCTTGAAGAAATGTGACCCTGCCTTAAATTGCAACTTTTGTGAAAGAATGTTGAAAGCGTAGGTTCAAATCCAACTTCGTATATCAGAAAGAATGTCGCCTCTTTATCCATTTGATAAATAGTTGGGCCGCGTTGTCAAAAGTATTTGCATAAGAACGAGGATAATTGATGAAGGGGTAAGTTGCCTGACGTTTTTTCGACTGATTGTAGGACATAGATGGAAAGTTTGCTAAGATAANAAGGTGACAGCAGAGAATTGATAGGGGCAATGACAAAAAGCTGGCTGTCATGGACGTTTAATCAGACAGCTTGATGCCTACTTTGTGATGATTATGTAGAATTCATACTTCCAGCGTCTTGTGAAAGAACAATCAACAGTTTAAATTGTTATGGCTCGAATACACATTACCAGAACAACGGCGGTGTTCAGTGGAGTAATCAAAATGTTTTGTTCTAAAAGACTAAAGTAGGGGAACACAGAGTAGCACAACCGCCCTCGATTTTCACATCAGAAGAGAACCGAAGCGGAGCAGCTTGCGACTATGGCCAAACTTTGTTCTCGTTGGTTTTATTTCCATTTTCAAAAGGAATCCAGAACTTCCCTCTACTTACTTGCATCGCGATCTTAGCCAAAAGTGCCGAAACATCCGTAGAAATCATGATTTCAGTGAGATCATGGCATTGATATCAAGGCAGAGCCCATGCCAGGGGCCCATTAGCATTACAACTTGTCCATATAATTTTCGACCATACGAAGGCATGGCGCAATGGTTTACACGAACAATTGCTGTCACAGGTTTGACACCAAAGCAGTCACATATCGCACAGTAGATCTCCATCAAAGGTCTCTTATACTCGAACGTTTTTCCAGACTATGCAGAACTTATGAGGCCAGCCAACCCTCATGCCAATGCTCATATCTTCCCAAAAGGTTCTGATACCAGTCAACTAACCTGGAGAGCGTGATTTTTTGCAGCGAGTATCCTTATCGCGGCTCGATTTCGGAACCATACGTCTTTTTGTATTACCTCATTTACTCTAATGACGCTCCGATGTCAAAGCAAACAAATGCCGCAGATAATACGTGAGACTAGGCTTTTTTTTGTAGGCATGAGAGAAGAACTAGAAGCACTTTGTTTTCGGAGCAGTTCACTTATTGATTTCACAGTACCTCCGACGCTATCTTTTACTGTAGTAGCTTTGCACCAATTCTATATCATACCTATTATGTCCATTCGAGAGCCTTCTTTACCAAGTCCATGCTTATTATACACCTAAGGACATAGATTCGAGTTGAGGAAAACCCTAATGGTGTTTTGAGCCATATTGAGGTGCCTAAGTAAAAGGCGTTGTCTTTTTCTAACAATTTATTCCTCTTCAGCCATCGTATCGGGATAGAAAAAACTTTGTCACTGCCGCTGGTTTTGGGAAATTAGGATTATTTCATTTCTGATCGATACCCATGTTGGATCGAGTAGTAGTTGTGGAGGATCCTCAAAGAAAAGGCCGCGAGAGCATGTGCTTTCTTAAAACCTACCATGATGCCATCCTTAGAAGAGCATCTTGGAGTCAATGCTTACTACAAGTAGCCCACTGCGAGGCCCCGTCGGAAACATTGGATGGGTCCGGGAACATCTCCCCGAAGACGGCGTCGCGCACGCCGCACTCGCCGCGTATCGCAGGATTGCAATGGAGGA